GCCAGTACGGTGGGGGTGCTTGCGTGACGTTTCTATGACGTTGTACGTGGCTGTCTGACCTTAAAAAATTAGTTACGAAATAGTCTGCACAAGTTCGCAGGTGTCTAAAAACCAGAGGCGCGGAAACCAAAGACCTTTAAGAAGAAGAAAGGAAAGGGCCGTGGACTACACTGAATAAGTTTTAAAAAACTATCACAGTTGAAAGTCTCATACCAGTGTGAAACTCTCTTGGCATGGAGTATTCCATATTTGCATGGGGGTTTGAGCTGAAATAGCCATCTTGAAGATCATTGGGTGCAGTTCACAGCCCTGCCTCTTTTGAGATCCCCTCTAGTTTCTGAGCTACACGCCCGCGAATATGCGCAGACTATTTCGTGCGGGTTTTTTCAGGGTCACCCAGGCATCCATGACCCAATAATAACGTCATTCAAATTATGCCAGTCCACCGGCCAAATGGCGATCAATGCCCACGAAAATACAATGGTCAAGTCACATTTGATGTTCGTGAGCAATACTTCCAGATATAACAGCCGTCAATTGGCTCTCAATCATTGTTGTGCGAGGCACGACGACGTAATCAAACAATGACATATTGAGGAGCATGCTCACCAAACAGAAAAATTGTTCTGTCTAGACCAGCTTCTCTTACTAAGTGCACCATAGCTCTGACTGAGCTTATTTCATCATATCGGATGCTTGCCTCTCCACCTTCAGATGTGAAACATTTCCTTTTAAGGGAGTGTTCCCCACATTTGCATGGGGCTTTAAACTGATATAACCACATAGACCTAAGCCTCTCTAGTTTCCGAGCTACACGCCCGGCAAAATGGGGAAAGGTATATCGGGGAGAGTATTTCAAAGTCACCTTGATATTTGTGACGCCATAATAAAGTCATTCAAATCCCGCCATTCCATAAGCCATGTGATGGCCAAGACCAAGGAAAATATAATGGTCGAGGCGTTCATATCTGGCGTTCGTGAGTGCGACTTCCAGATATAACAGCCGTCAACTGGCTCTCAACATTGTGCAAGATCGTGATGTAGTCGAACTATAACGCGCTGAGAAGCATATTTCCTTGACAGAGAATTGTGCTGTATAGAGCAATTTTTCCACTTAAAGGGTATACCAATGATTACATGTGAGCTTGTTTCATCACATCCGCCTCAATATCTTCAAATATAAAACATTCCCTTATGACTAATAGGGGGGGGGGGGGGGGGAGGCACAAAAAACAAAGCCGCCCGCCACCTTCGGACCGCTTTCCGCTGCCGACCGCCTCTGAAACCCACTTGTCTCCACGAGCTCTCACACTCCCCACCTTTCACACTTTATCTGTCTAAAATCAGGACTTCAGTGATCTGGCTCCTACCCCGCTTTGTCCAGAGACTGGCGAGGTCAGACAGCATTGTATTTGGTATCAGCTGACACTCCACATAGATCCGTGGCTATTGTGTGTCATTTGTCAGTGGTGACAGTAAGCCTGACAACGGAAAGCAGCCAGGGAAAAAACATACACGCACAACCGTACAAACAGCGTCAGACAGCTCTATCACACAAAAAAATGACTTGCCAGCGCGCTTTAACCTGATCGGATCAATTCGTCTCACATTCACCGGCGACCCATTCATGAGGCAGGCTGCTCGGTTTGCGAAGGACCTCTGTCCTGCCGCCGCGCGCACCGCCGGGAGCCGCAGGTTTCAGTCCATGCGGTGAGAACGGTCACAGGCCCGCGCGTCGGCGCATGCGCCGCCCCGCGCTACCTCGTGAGCCTGCATGCACGCCTACGGTCCTGCCACCTACCGGCTGGTCACAGGTTACACTTCCCGCCAGCAGATGGCGTTCAATCCTGCCTTCGGTGCTGGTCCGCTAATTTGCAAGCTAGCCGATCAGGCGCGTAGCCTTGCGCGTGGACCCGCGCCCGGTCCCGCCCTCCCCACACCGGCACAGCGCAGGTGCACCTGCCCGCCAGTAGATGGCGTTGAATTCTGCCGTAGCACACCGCCGCTGCGCTGAGCCCGACCAACCGAAGAACTGCTGTCATACTGTAAAACGGACGGCAAAGGAAGGCGCCAACGACCTCGATGATGAACGATCGACGGCGTGCAACGATGACTTCGCCAGAACACCCGCATGGTGATGGGCACCAGGGTTCTCCGGCTGGCAGGCGGGGAAGCGTAAAAGGATAACTTATTAGGACAACAGGATGATAAGTGACCTCAATAACGACCCCGGTTGACACCGTGCAACGATAATTTCGACGGAACGGACTATGAAACGTTGGGTTATTAAGGGTTTCACGACCGATCCTGGCTGACCTTGATAGCATAGCCTTATTAAATCCCAGTTAAAGCACAGCAAAAAGACTTGTGAACATATTTTGTATCATTTCTCACCTGTTCATATTAACTTATCAGCTCATGATATTCGCTAATCCAAATTTTTTTACATCTGCTAGCATAAAAGTGACCATAATTTCACCAATAAACCCTCGATATTTCGGTATCCCGAACCTTCCGTCACCGAACGTCACATGATATCGGAGCTGCGGTCCGGGCGGCATCGGAGCTGAGGTCTGGGCCACATGGGAGCGGCAGGTCCGGGCGGCGACGGGGCGGAGGGTCCGGGCGGCACCGCAGCCACTCGTCTGGCTGACACCAGAGCCACGATCCAGGCGGCGTCGGAGCCGCGGCCGCACATCCGGACTGCGCCAGAGCTGCGGGCCGAGGCAGTGACCGAGCGTCAGGGCCTGGGCGGCAGCCATCGCAGCCGCAGGTCCGGGCGCCACCGCAGCGACAGGTCTGGGAGGCAAGGGAGCCTCTGCACGGGCCGTATGGAAGCGGCGCCGGCGCCTCTGAGTGGTGAAGGAGCGGCGGGTGACGGCGACAGGTGGGCGCCTGTCCCAACGGGCCGCCGCAGCGAACCACAGCTCCCGACGGCTGGCTCGCTGGTGGCGGCAGCTGTGTCTAGCCCAGCGGCTAGGACCCCAGCCGGGCGTCCAGTGAGCGGAGCCAGTGCTGTGTGACCTGTCCCGCCCTACTCGGCGCGGCTTATCAGCACCCAGGCTGTTACAATGGTGTGAGACTGGGATGCAATGATGCTGATGCCTAACCACACAATCTGGCGATGCTCACATATTCCAAGCTGTATTCGGTTTTCCAAACCAGTGTGCCCAATGCGGATCAGGCATCAAAATTCCAGATCACTTGTCGAACAGATTATAGGAGCAGACAGCCGCACCAAACCGAAACACGGCCGCAACCGAACCGATGGGTCGAAGGGCTCGTTAGTTTGTACACTAGTAGAACTACTTACGCAGTTAGTAGGTCAACTGGCTAGGTGAACCAACTCCCCTTCGCTGACGTTACCTCATGGACAGTTGTGTCCAAGCTACCTCGTTTTTGTCCTTTATCACATCGGCAACAGTGTGACTGTACAGAATGTGTCCAACATGTGTATGCGGCACATTGCTGGCAATTAAGTATAGCGTATGCTGGCAATAAGTCATGGTTTTCCACGCGATCTACATAAACAATACCTAAGTGATGGCTTGGTAACCGCCTATCAAACTCAGGGGCAGATCCAGAGGGGACGAGGGCATGGGGGCACGTACATCCCCTTTGGGCCGACGGGGCCCAAACTCATGGTGAAGGAGCACTAAAATCTCCATTTCAGGTCCACATAACCTTTACTTTTAAGACGCACCAAATTCGGGGGCGACTAAAAATATCCCCAAATCGTCACTTTAGCGAGGCACCAGAGTATGGGAGAACCACAATGTGCCCTAAACCTTCATTTTTAAGAGGCACCACATATCAGTGGTAATGCTATGCTGTTAATATTTGTTGTTAATTACGGGTTTTTGGGCGCGCCGACTGCATAGGCCATATTGCAAGGGTAATATTGTGCCTGTTGTTGTTAAACAATGCTGCGTCTTCCACCTATAAGATTTATTTTCTAGAGGTACCCAACTCCAGGAGAACCACAAAAGGTCCCAAAACTGCCATTTCCAAGACACAACACATTCCTGGGGCGCGTCCAAGTTCGTGCCTCTCCACTGAAGACATCCTGGACCAATCCATTCGACAATGGGCACCAAAATATTCATTTCGAAGCACCATAAGTCATACAATATTGTTCTTATCACCAATCCAAGGCCATTCAAAGGGCATCAAAGTTTTTATATCGCAAGAGTAGTAGCGGGCCACAGCTTGTTTGCCTTCCAACCTGACAAAACCTCGGATGGGTCACTTCAGTGAAGAGGCACCAAAAACCTTAATTTAGGGAGCATCGGCCGGTTCTTTCGTCAGCACGCTTGTCAGCTGGAATACATGACGTCATGTGTGCTGATGGAGCGTTCGATGTGTGGGCTGATGGGAAAGTCTTTTAACTTTACTTCACCTTCTTTCCCCACCTTTTACTTCAGATCACACACTAACTCGGGCTTACCACCGACCATAACCCACTACCTGTTAAGTGGTGTTTGGAGGTGTGGCTTCTGCTTCGGTATTACCATTATGTATGTTGAGATGCTTCTTCCCATTCTCCATTCATTTCAATTTTTCCCTCATTTTAGGTTTTAGTGATAACTATATTAATTTACTGGGGAACATAACCACACACCACACCAATCATCACCAATCACCTTTTCATGACTATGCTGACATTTCATAACCCTTCTTATCTACCTTACTTCTCATTTCTCCCAAAATTAGACAAGTGCCCTTACCCCACCTAATGTACTCACCAATGCAACAGCTACCAAATCAACTACCACTTCTTTGTCAGAGTGATTTTCATCTTATAGCATAGCAGGCATAGCTCTCCATGCTGATGGCTGACAAAAAATGTAATCACCCATCATCATTTCATTTCTAATCTACTTTTTTGAACAGTATTTCACACCTCAGAGCTTTCTACAGACTCAAAAACCTCAACAAAAATTGAACATTGAGGAACAGTTACAAAACAGAGGACTAGAGTGACTGGATTTTGTACTTACCAGGTCCTTCTTCATCATTGCCATTCTCAAGCAAGGGCATAGCCTCTACCTCCCATGGCATGGAAGGCATTACTATTTCCAGGAAAAGCAGATGGCTTAGGCCACTGTCAGTGTGTTCATTCTCATCAATGTAAGTATGTATCTCCAACCCGATTATATCATAATCTTCAAATTACTTGCAGCCATGCAATCTTGTTCAGGCCAGAAGCTATGACTGCAAGAAAAATCATTCCACTAACATTAGCCCAATAATCACACATGTTAAGCAGGCAGGCATCAGGCCAATTATCACTCATCTTCAACAGACAGGAAATTTGATAATGCCACATGCCCAGTTGGGATTTTGACCATTCTAATGCATAGCACATGGTGTACGCAATGGAGTTCTGGAAATTAATAATAAAGGCATGCCAGATTGCTACCTATTTTGTACACGTGTATAATATCACACATTGACTATGAAACAATAACATAAGCACAAAGCATAAGTATCTGGGATGGCATCTTATCAGGAAACTGGTTTCATCCGCGAAGGCCTCCCGTTTACCATAACGGTGTTTAAGTTAGATTTAGAATAAAACTCATGCAGAGATAATATCAAAAGATGCACAGTAGATTTTTGAATAGGTGTATAAGTTCATTAGACTCCGTGTACAATGCACTGGTAATAAATATCAGTTTACCTTGAACCCCTCCCCCTCCCAGATCCCGCCAACCGACGCCTGAACGTGCGACACCAAAGCCGTACGAGACAGGTAAACAGTGGTGTATTAATTGATTACCAAAAATAGCTTCACAAGAACCAAAATGAACTTGCGTACCAAATCCGACAGTGAGGCCCAAAATGTACACTTCAGCTCCGATTGCATTATTGCCACCAATCAACGTTTTCACCACTAGCTTAACGCAGTAGTGAACCGCAATGCCTACGTAAATCAACAAATACACGAAGGAAATGTTCAGAAAGAATGTCATCCACTAGGTTGGCTGAGGTTCCGCCAAATACGTGAAGAAAATCGCCAAAATACGGTAGGAAATCAGAGAAATTGTACCTTGATTTAGGATATTTAGCCCGCAAACAAAACGACCGTACGTAATGTCAAACCGGCATCAATTTGCGAATGTTTTGGGACCCAGATACCATTATTCTATTGGAGTTGCATTCTGAGAGCGAGCCGCCGACTGACATTGTGTTTCCGTATATATTTAAACATCCGGTGGCTGCGCCCGGATGTTTAGATATATAATCCCACACACCCGCTGATGTGCGGGGGGGGGGGGGAGGGCAGGGAACATATCCTCCTGCTGGGCCCTGAGGGACCTTCGGACTCTCGGCACAGGCTACCATGGGGCAAGATTGGAGGGCCCGAAGGGCTTGCCGGGTACGACCCCGTGGACGAAGGCCTGGCCTCTCAAAGGTCAGCCAAAGGGACTCGATGCGTCTGTAGAGGTTCCCCGGAACGATGAAAAACTTCTATGAAGGTCCGGGACGGTGCAGTATGTAGATGTTGGTCTAATGCTTAACAGTTGACTCTGAGCACACTAGGACCCTGGGACCCATTTACGAAGCAGGAACAAGGCCGGTGTCAGCGATAGCTACTGAAAGCCTCCCGCGTTCTCCTGGACACTGAAACAGTGTGGCTTCCCTAAATCAAGGCACAGAGTGATTTACATGAGAGCCTGTGTCGGTAAGAGGACTCTAGTCGACCAGAGGCACATTTTGCTGAAGAGGAACAGGACGGGACACTGAATGCATATCCACTTGCGTCGGTAGAGTTCCTTTTGCCTGACATGAGATGGGAATGCAAGAAAGGGCAATTAAATTGCCTACAATGAGACAATAGAAAGGTCTGGCCAGTCTCCGGCTCTAGTACCAAACAGGGGCCATTCCGAACTCCTGGTCCGGGCCCTAAAACGGACCCGGGGCCTATTTAAGCCATGGGGTCCAACCGCCCTAACTGCGGCCCACACTGCGGTCCGTGCTTGGGTACCATGTTTTGTTATTATTCACAGCAGCTTTCAAATTTTCTGATTCTATGATATCAGATCAGAGCTCACACAACGTAGAATTGCTTTGTGTCTTGTGGCACTCCATCTTCATAGTGTGAAATTCCAGTCATACGGCAAATCTTCATGGAAAAAGCTGCACGTAGCATAATGTTTGGCACGCTCCCCCTGCCCTTTGACCTTTCCGGCGTTGAGCAGCCGCTGTCACCGGTCGCAGACCATCTAAGTCAGAAGCCAAGTAGCGAACGCACAGGGATGCAGCCAAGATCGAAAATGCAGAGACCCACTCCACCCCGCTACCACCACAATGTAAAGAGTTTTCACTAGTATGCCCCCCTCCCTCCCGTGTTGGTTATCTTGCGAGCGCGTACATACAGCGACTTGACCCCATGCCCCCACGGGTGGGATGGGATCGCGAGGACCTGATACCGATTAAGCTACGAATGGCGGTGATGTGTTGCTTTTAGTTGTGATTTAAGACCTGGTATTGTCCATCCACTTTCACCAGCAATCAGATATTTAGACACTGATATCTGGTCCGTTTATAATACCAGACATTAAGTGACATCATTGGTGATCACTCAGGCTTCTGGTGATGCACTGGGCATTTTAGCCTCCTGATTCAGTCGGTTAACAGGGTGTATACTTTGGTGGTGAGATTGACCATTCTGGATGTTCAGTTGATTTTCGTCCCGAGGTCAACCGTCTGGCGGTTCTCGCTTACCTTCACTTTGGAGTGACGTCATTGGTGCCGAGACTTAAATATGTGGCGGGCCACTATACACCGAACGTAACGCTGAACGGCAGACGGATCATCGAAATATTCGTGAAGATAGCAGAAAAGCCATCGGTGGAAGGTATACGTAATCGGCAACCCGGCGACGTAGATTTTCGTGGACAATATCATGATGTGCTTCGCAATCCTATGTAGCGAGTCATTATAATGCAGTGGCAAGACAAATAAAGGCATACACACAATACTTCCCCGCAACAGGGTGGCAAAAGTGTCGGATTGTTTCTGTGCCTATGACGAACAAACGCTTGGTAGCAGATGTATGTGACCAGCGAGCCGATTGGGTAGAATTAAACGAGCATGATGACGTGCGTGACATGACGCTAAATGACAGCCATCACAACGCACTTTGATCTTCCAGAGTAACGCACCACGTGGGCGCGCCGCCGCCGGTGGTGTGAGTGAGTGACAAACGTGGCAAATCTGCTGTTCGAAGCGCTTTTTTGCACTATATGCACCAGACGCGTGCCAGATGCGCCGTACTCGGGTCGTGGGTATCTACGTTCCGCCGTACTCGAACTGTACGTGTCTACGGTGTCGGCCGTGCTCGGTCAGTACCTGCCTACCTTTCGGCGCATTCGGCCTTAACCTGCTTGCGCACGGGCAGTGCCCGGTCCGCAGTCTGTACCTGCGCACGGACAGTGCTCGGTCCGCAGTCTGTATCTGCGCACGGACAGTGCTCGGTCCGCAGTCCGCACCTGCGCACGGACAGCGCTCGGTCCGCAGTCTGTATCTGCGCACGGACAGTGCTTGGTCCGCAGTCCGCACCTGCGCACGGACAGTGCTCGGTCCGCAGTCTGTACCTGCGCACGGACAGTGTTCGGTCCGCAGTCTGCACCTGCGCACGGACAGTGCTCGGTCCGCAGTCTGCATCTGCGCACGGACGGTGCTCGGTCCGCAGTCCGCACCTGCGCACAGACAGCGCTCGGTCCGCAGTCCGCACCTGCTCACAAACGGTGCTCGGTCTGCAGTCCGCACCTGCGCACGGGCAGTGCTTGATCTGCAGTCTGTACCTGTGCACGGACAGCGCTCGGTCCGCAGTCCGCACCTGCGCACGGACAGTGCTCGGTCCGCAGTCCGCACCTGCGCACAGACAGTGCTCGGTCCGCAGTTCGCACCTGCACACGGGCAGTGCTCGGTCCGCAGTCCGCACCTGCGCACAGACAGTGCTCGGTCCGCAGTTCGCACCTGCACACGGGCAGTGCTCGGTCCGCAGTCCGCACCTGCGCACGGGCAGTGCTCGGTCCGCAGTCCGCACCTGCGCACGGGCAGTACTCGGCGCCTTCCAGCCTGCATCGTCATCGTGAGTGTCGAGCCGCGAATGTTACGTTTATTGAAACGTTTCTGTGCGGTGCTCTTTTTGACGCCAACTTGTCATGTGTAGAGAATGATAGATAGCCAATCCGCGGTGCGGACGCAACATGCATTTGTGACACGGTTTTTTAAAGGGAGTGTTCTACATTTGTAAGGTTTAAACTGAAATAGCCATCTTGCAGATCATTTGATGTTGATCGCAGTTCTGCCCCCCTTAAGCCTTAAACCCTACTGGTTTCTGAGCTTTCCGCCCGCGAAGATGTGCAGACTTTTCTGGGAGACCATTTCAAGGTTACCCAGGTATCCGTGACACCATAACGACGTCATTCAAAATCCTGCCATTCCATAACCCATGCGACGATCAGTGCCAATAAAACATAATTGTTGAGTCGCTTATGTCTGGCGTTCGTCAGCACCATTTCAATGTGTAACGGCCGTTGATTAGCTCTCAATCAGTGTTGTGCAAGGTAAGTTGGCATAATCAACCAATGACGTATTAGGGAACACAGCTATTAAAAGCAGAAACCGTGTGGTCTAGAGCAGTATTTTCCGCTTTGGAGTATAACAAAGTGATGAGTGGGTTTATCACATCATACCTGATGTTTGCTTCAAAATCTTCAAATGTAGAAAATCCGCTGATAGCCGGGACAACGTTCACTGTGCAGCTGACGACTCCCATGTGTGTTCCATTCCAGTGACAGCGCGCTGCAATGGTTATATTTACTTCATCCCTAATCATAGCTGATTTAGCAACGACCACTTAAAGTGGTGATGATCTGGACCGACAGGCTGTCGCGGGTACAAAGTCTCATGGGCAACACGCACGCCTCGTGAGCCTGGCTCATGGCTGACAGCGTTTTGGCGTTGGTCGTCACTTGCTTAGTCTCCGTGGAAACATCTATGCTTCGTAACAAAAGAAAACCTCTCCTTGTTTAAAAGTGCCCACCATAACACTATACTGTTCCACTTCGCAAAAAAGACAACGAGTAACGGCCTCCGCTCAGCGTGGGTGCCAGCTGATTTCCGAACAGACGCAGGGGCAACCGACGTTCCCCTTAATACGAAACAAAGATTAGCTGGTGAGAGATAGCCATTTTGGGGGCTTCTTTCCAGTCAACGCCCATGGGGCAAATACGAAGTTTTAAGAACGTTAAGGATTAAACCCCCTCTCCTTAGTACACGTGTCCTTGCGTAAGCGTGTTGAGTTCCCATGCCAATTGAATTGCAACAGTTTTCTGAAGATCAGGCCTGTAGTGTAGATGTTGTCCGCTAGTCTTCTGTCAATAAGTCAATGCTCCATGTTTGTTATATTGGCTGCCACATTGAGAGGGCCATGGTTAAGTTGATGCTCCACATGCGTACATTTTTAATCGAGTGACACAGATGATCGGCCCAACCCACTTCGCACAGTCGTTTCCGTTTTCGTCCCACGCCATTGCACTTCTCACCAATTCTACATCGCACATAAAATCGTTTCACTCCTGGACAGGTACGTAAAGATAAAGTTCCCAAATGCAGAATAAAACTGCATGGTTCCCTTCATTAGATGTGGCGATGGTGGTCGGCTGCATAGTATAAAGCAAAGCAGTGTGCATGGCGCACAATGAGCCGCCATAAGCAACCGTGCACGT